GTTATAAATTATTTGAAATTAGGGAGAGGCTGGAAACAAGTGGCTTTCTTTACCTTTTCCTACTTGCTTAATAATCATGCCTGATACCTGTAAATTATTTTAGTAAGGCCACAATATACAAGGAAAAGAAATCAAAAGTAGGAAGTTGTATTAGAGACGTAACTATGAGAGTGATATTTCTGCAAGTGAATAAAATAAATGCAGGGTGGATTTTTCTAATTAGTGTCCTAAAGTTATATGTATTTCTGTATTGTTATTAAGTATTTATCTGGGACTTCCGGTCAAGATGGCAGGTAGGTAAACACGGTATCGCGTCCTCCCTAAACCATATCAAAGTTACAACTAAACTACAGAACAACCATCATTCAAAACCGCCTGAAATCCAGCTGAATGGAAGTCCTACAACTACGGAATTAAAGCAGCAGCCGCATCCAGACTGGTAGAAGGGGCGGAGGTGGATGGGCTGGTCCCACACCCACGTGTGGCGGATAAAAATCAGGAGGACACCTCAGCTGGGAAGGTCCTTCCTGAGGACTGAGGGGTCCCCGTCCCACACCAGGTGCCCGCTCAGGGTTCCAGTGCCAGGAAGAGAATTCCCATAACTTCTGGCTGGAAAAACCAGCAGGAACTGAGGCTCAGGGAAGCTGAAGCGGCTGGAGCCCCAGGCAGCTCCTTAAAGGGCCCGCGCACGGACTTATCAGACTCTCTCCCTCTAAGCTTGGAGGGGAGGCAGCTCGAGGGGCACCAGAGACATGCAGGGAAGAACTGAGCTGTTTGGCACTGGAGCGAGGGCTGGAGAGGGGGCTTTCACGGGGACAAACGTGCTGTCAGAGGCCTTTGTTCCTTTGGTGAGTCCTCCCCTGGGGCGACAGGCAGTCGCCATATCTGAGACTCCAGCAACCTGGCTCACACTGGTAGCCCCGCCCTGGTGATTCCCTGAGGCCCCGCCCCACCCAACTTTCAGGCCCACCCAAGCTGTTGCCACTTGCTTAACCATAGGATTGGCCTGTCTTGGATCCTGCTTCAGGTTTTCCTAAATTCTTTCAAACAAGCAGCATCTGGTCTCAGCTAGCCCCATACCTCTCGTTAAGTAATACACAGAAACAAACACAGGGAGGCAGCCAAAATGAGGAGACAAAGAAACAGGTCCCAAATGAAAGAACAAAACAAAACCCCAAGAAAGGAACTAAGCGAAATGGAGATAAGCAACCTAACAGATGCTGACTTCAAAATACTGCTTATAAGGATGCTCAATGAACTTAGGGAGGGCCACAAGAGCATAAAAAAAGGACCAGTCAGAAATGATGGATGCATAGTCAGAAATGAAGGAGGCATTAACTGAAATAAAGAATAATTTACACAGATTCAATAGTAGAGTACGTAAGTCCAAGAAGCAAACCATCGATTTGGAATATAAGGAAGCAAAAAACGCCCAATCAGAACAGCAAAAAGAAAAAAGAATCCAAAAAAACGAGGATAGTGTAAGGAGCCTCTGGGACAACTTCAAGCGTGCCAACATTCGCATCTTGGGGGTGCCAGAAGGAGAAGAGAGAGAACAAGAAATTGAAAACCTGTTTGAAACAATCATGGCAGAAAACTTTCCTAACTTGGTGAAGGAAACAGGCATACAAGTCCAGGAAGCACAGAGAGTCCCAAATAAGATGAACCCCAAGAGGCCCACACCAAGACACATCATCATCAGAATGCAAAAGGTTCAAGACAAAGAGAGAATCTTAAAAGCAGCAAGAGAAAGGCAGCTAGTTACCTACAAGGGAGTTCCCATAAGGCTGTCAGCTGATTTCTCAAAAGAAACTTTGCAGGCCAGAAGGGAGTGGCAAGAAATATTCAGAGTGATGAAAAGCAAGAACCTACAACCAAGATTACTCTATCCTGCAAAGCTGTCATTTAGAATCGATGGCCATATAATGACTTTCCCAGACAAGAAAAAGTTAAAGGAGTTCATCACCACCAAACCGTTATTATATGAAATGATGAAGGGTCTTTTTTGAAGAAAAAGATAAAATATATGAACAAACAAAATGGCAATGAATACATATCTATCAACAATGGAATCTACAAATAAAATGAACAGGTAGAACAGAAACATTCTCATAGATACAGAGAACATTTTGTTGGTTGCCAGATGGGAGGGGGTTGGGGGAATGGGTGAAAAAGGTGAAGGGATTGAGAAGTACAAATTCATTGCTAGACTGACAAACCTCAAAGGGAAAGGGGTTGTGGGGTGGGAAGAAATAAACCAAAGAACTTATATGCATAACCAATGACACAGACTATAGTGTGGGAAAAGGCAGGAGGGGGGCGGGAGTGGGGAGGAAGGGGTCAATGGGGGAAATATGAGGAACATCTGTAATACATTCTACATTCAACAATAAAGATTTAAAAAAACATATTTATCTGCTTTTCATATATCAAGAAATGGTAACGTGTTTTACTGACTAAGTTCCAGCGAGGATGAGCTCGGGAGCCCGACAGTGCGAGATGCGGTGCGTGCAGCCTGGATCCGCACGGCTCTGCTGGTGCTCGGAGCCTCACACGGGCTTCCAGAGGCTAATCTACACAGCCGCCCAGGGGAGCAGCGAGGGAAAAGAACGGAGAAAACGGAATTTCTCTCACCCACAGATAAGCTGCTATATAGTTCTAAAAACTGATCAAAACCAATGCATCTCCTTCATGGCCCCGAATAACCCCGCCTGTCACCCCATTTGAAGAGAAGCTGGAAAATTGTTCTGTGCCAGTTATTGCTGCATCTCCAGATAAGCCCACAACTCGTTTTTATTATGATTCCACGACTGGGACCTGGAGGTCAGACATGACAATGTCGGCTTGATAACTCTCCTCCTTTCTACATCTAATTTAGCACCTACTGTAAAAATCATTTCTATCAGCAATGCAACCATCACTGACATCTCTCTCTGCCCCATCACACCAATAACAAGAGTCTAAAATTCATTTCAGGGGTGGCTGAGCTTTTTGACCTACTTTCTCCTCAAGTACTATGTCAAAAATAGACTTATTTTTGTTCCATAGAGTAAACATACACATTTTCTTTTTTATCTTTGGCCTTTAGGATAAAGGAGTCTTTATTTGATAACCAGGAGACAATTTAATATACAGCTCAATCTTCTCCACTTGCCTGTCCTCGTGGCACTTCAGAAGTCGGTTGATTCTTTTTTGTTGTAGGGCAAGTTTACTACACAGACAGCCAGTGGATGGAAATTTCTGAGGTTAGCTCGAAGCCCAGCAATCTGTTCAGCCACTGGTAGGAAGGGCACAGAAATGTCCGTGTGGGGACATGGGGGAGGGAGAGTGGTCGCTGGCCAGGAAGTTAGAAAAGGGGTAGGCAGGAGGACCAAGAAGCAGCTTAGGTTTCCCCTGGCCTATTCCAACACTGCAACCAGCTCTACTTACGTATACTTTATGTTATAGAAGGGCTTCCAGAGAAACTAGCCCATGTTCACACAATACAGAAAAAAATGCCCCAAGTATAGGTACCAAGTGACAGGCCCAGCCACTTTAAGTAATGAGAAAATAAGTAGAATGCGATGCTTCAACTAAGTCCACAAACACCCTTGCGGGCTAAAGCACTGCGATCCACCCGCCAGGCTCTCCGTTCTCCTGGAGGCCTGTGCGCATCCCGAGGCATATTCTCAGGCCTGTCCATCGGCCTGGGGACGCCGGCACAGCCCCAGCCCTCTCTCACCTCCTGCCTCTTTCCTTCCCTCTTCAGCTAAGCGCCGAAGGACCCTGCCACCCACTTACTGTGTACGTTACATGTTTTCTTCTCTCTTTTTTTTTTGAATCCTCACTCGAGGACATTTTTGCATTCATCTTCAGATAGAGTGGGAAGGAGAGAGGGAGGAAGAGAGACAGACATATTGATTGGTTGCCACCCACATGTCCCCAACCAGGGCCAGGGACAAACTGCAACCGAGGTACGTGCCCTTAGGGGGAACTGAACCCAAGAGTCTCTGGTCCGTAGCCCGACGCTCTAACCACTGAGCCAAACCAGCCAGGGCTGTTTTTTTTGTGTTTTTTTCCATTGGGAGAGGATCCTGTAGTGTATAACATGCATGCAAAATGACACGTGTCTTAGAAAAAGCTGAATAAACTACCTGGCTGTGATAATTTTAAAGGAATTATGCTTAAAGTAATTTAAATCAGTGTCAATCTCCAAACATTTTTTTAGACAGTTATATAGTGTTTTATATTTTCAAAGTGATCATAACTATAGTTTAATGATTAGCATTTATCCATTCACTAAAAGATTTCTGAATGTCTGCACTATACACTTTATTAGCAATTACAGATAACCCTCGAACAACACGGGTTTAAACTTCATGGGTTAACTTAGCAAATTTTTTCAATAACTGCCCTGGCCGGTTTGGCTCAGCGGTTAGAGCGTCCACCTGCGGTCCAGAGTGACCCGGGTTCGGTTCCCGCTAAGGGCATGTACCTCGGTTGCAGTTTGTCCCCGGCCCTGGTTGGTCATGCGGGTGGCAGCCACTCGATGTGTCCCTTCACATCGATGTTTCCCTCTCTCTCTCTTCCTCTCTCTCCCTCCCACTCTATCTGTACAAAAAAATGGAAAAATGTCCTCGGGTGAGGATAAAAAAAAAAATTTTTTTTCAATAACTACTATAAATGTATTTTGTCTTCCTTATGATTTTCTTAAGACTACAGAATATAATACATATAACATACAAAATATATTTTAATTGACTATTTGCTGTCCACTGGGTTTATGGTCAACAGTAAGCTATTAGTAGTGAAATTTGGGGGAAGTCAAATAATACATGTATTTTCTTTTTTATTTATTTTTCTATTATAGTTGACATTCAATATTATATTACTTTCAGGTGTACAGCATATGGTTAGACATTCACATATCTTACACAGTGATTCCCCCACAAGTCTAGTGCCCACAGTGATTACTATATTCCTTATGCTGTACTTTATATCCCATGACTATTGGGTAACTGAAAAATATGGAACGCTTCATAAATATGTGTGTCATCCTGGTGTAGGGGCCACGCTAATCTTCTCTGTGTTGTTCCAGTTTTAGTGTGTGTGCTGCCGAAGGGACACATACTTCCTACTGCAAGGTGGCAGAGGCCCCTGAACCCCGCCTTGTTCAAGGGCCAACTGCAACCCCCTTCCCTTCACCCAGGAACTGGATCTACTGGCTTCCTTTTCCACCAAGAGCAATTGGCCAGACTTTATTTTTTCTTTTCAGAGCAATGCTGGAAGTTCATTATCAATCTATTCATTATAGAGGAATGTCATGTATTTTACTTTTTTCAATGCCAGCATCTTCCTAAGTCATTATACTCATGTGCACCTAAACCGTTTCCAGGTTGGAGAGTTTGCCTTGGTGGAGTCTTTTGGGGGGTATGTTGTTTGGCTTTAGCAACTCTGCTAATCCTAAATCCCAAGGCACTGACGTATTTTTCAGCTGTGTTCCAAAGTCAGTCATGCATGCATGTCATCGAAGAGTCAACCAGCTCAGCAGTTTCCCAGCTTCCTTTTCCCAGTTCTGCTTCCTCAGAGGTAATTACCTTCAACTCTTCTAGTTTCTTCTTTTGGTATTTATACAACCATATTGCTAAATAACATGACTTTATTGCCATTCCTCATATTTTGGTGTTAGATACTGTCTCCTGATGTCCCACTATGGAAGATGAGCCTTCTTTCATCGCTCCCAAGCCGGCCCATTTACGTGTGCATCTCCCGCCTTCCCGTCCCAGTATAATTATATCATACACACACCATTCAGGTGTCAGCTGTGTAATGATGAGGATTATATATCTTGTCCTATACAGGAATTTTAAAGAGTCACTTTCTTCATGTGCTTAGTTTTATATGCATTTATCATGAATTCAGTCTCAATTCTTTCTACTTATCTAAATCACTCTTCAGAAAGTTCCATTTACGCTAAGTATTTCTTCTCCTCACCTTCTTGAAGAAGGTTATTCTGTAGCTTTCTAGCCTGCTCTGATTTAGTCTGTTTGCTCTCAAGCTCTGACGCACGACTCTCCCTCTAGCATCATCCAGGGCCTGAAAGCAAGGTTTCCAAGACATCGGGATTTTGTTTTATGTTTTCTGATAACCAGAAAACATAAATTATTTTTAAGTTTTTAGATCGTTCCTTTTTCAGCCCTTAAAGATTAACAGACTATTAAGCATTGATGATTTTAACAATCAAACAATTGTTAAAAACAAGACAACAGGCCCCAAAGGAGTTGCTTATGCTAAACCCCACCCCAGCAAACTTAATCATGTAGCTGACTACACGCTTGGTGCTCCCAGAAATGGAATCTCAGCAGACATTCAGGAACGGCCTGGCCAGCTTAGGTAGGTAATCTGCATAACAGACCCCTGCCGTCCCTAAGGGACAATAACCAACTCATGTTGTTTGCCCAGTGCAACTTTCTCGTTCCTGATCCCTGCTGCCTGAAAGTCTTCCTCCCCCCACCCCCAATCCTCACCCAAGGGTATTTTTTTATTTATTTTCAGACAGAGTGGGAGGGAGGGAGAGGTATATATAAAGAAACATTGATGAGAGAGATACATCGATTGGTTGCCTCCCACATGACCCCGACCAGGGTCGGGTACTGAACCGCAACCAAGGTACGTGCCCTTGACGGAATCAAACCCGTGACCCTTTGGCCTGTGGGCCAACGCTCTAACCGCTGAGCAAAACCTACTAGGGCAAGTGTTCCATTTTTTTACAGCTCCCCAGAGCTCCTCTCATAAGGGAAAACCTAAGCTCTTTAAAAGTTCCCTTTCTGGACAGTGACCTTGATTCTCTCGCTCCTGAGCCTCGAGTCTGAGCAGCTCTTCGCGTCCCTCTTCCGAATTCGAGACACACGGCCTTGTACTGTCGCGTTTATTCCGCCCTTCTCTCCTGCCTGGACCCCTGTTCTGAGAGCAAGGACCCCTGGCAGGCATCCTCACACGTGGTGTCGCACCCAGTCCAGGCCCTTGCATAGAGAGGCTCATCTAATACTGGGTAAATTAATTAATGTCATCTTAACTATAGTTCGACTATGATTTCTTAATACAGCTGATGGCCAAAGTGACGAGAGGCTTCAGTGACTCCCCAGCGCACATGTTTGGTCCCTGTGGGCGCCAGGGCTGCTGTGGCGGTTCCCACGGGTGGGAGGTGCCAGCCGAGTCTTCCAGCTCCCAGTGTGCCCTGCAGAGCCCCGGCTGCTAGCAGAAGGTACAGCCAGACCAAACTATTTCACAGTGGTCTTTAGGTTTTTAATGGAATGGCAAATTATCTATTTGGATAAACTTTTTAAACCTGAGAGAACACACTGATTTTCGTTGTTGTAAAATTCGACGGACTCTCCGTTAACGTGGAAGGAGAATGAGGGCTGCTCCCGGGCTCACATGGAGCTAGCTAGGCAGAGGCCCTTGCTTACCGCTTTGCATCGACTCTGTAAGGGCCCAGTGATATCAACCAGGTTTTTGTGTTTGATTCCAGAACCAAATGGAATTTACAGGTAGAATTCTTCCTCCATAGTTTTTATATTTGTTTGTCGTAAAATAAGTTCAAAGCTCCCCGAAAGTAGTCTGAGAGGTTACCTTGTGGTTTTCCCAGATAATAAAGGTTAAGAGGAAAGGCAGTACAGGAATATAGAACACATGGAAAGTATTTTTTACTCCAACAGTATGCCTAGATACTGAGTAATATCCAGATAGAGTTGGTATCATGAAATTTTAGGAGAAATAGTTCATTCATGACCTATGAATTCCCCCTAAAATGAAAGGCACTTCATCCATGAGTTTTCCGAGCTCCTCCTGACCTAACAAGTTTTTGATCTGCACAATTTTCAAAGATGAAACTTCTGCACGCACTACCTGCTGTGTAAACATTGCTTCACAAAGGTTCTTGAATGAAATAAATGTCTGCCTTTCTGATTTCCGTTTCCCTTCTCAATGCACTCAATTTAAAGTATCTTGTTTAAATATATATAGTCTAAGAATTAAAATCTATTTAAAACAATTCAAAGATTTAGAATGGGTTAAAACAAAGAAATGAGAAATCTTTTAGATTATGTCATTGTGACAGTTCCAGCCACCAAAAAACGGAAAGTGCCAACTGAACCACTAAGACGTTTAAGTTTTCAAGGCCTACTTTTGCTTTCTTCTATGAGGCAAGTAAGTAATTGGGATAAAAAATGTATAACTATACAGTGGGGAAACCAGACCACGCCTTAAGCAAATGATCAAAGTTAATATCACCAATACGGGGCAAAGGGACATGTACCTGCAGTGATATTTTGAGAAGACAGGCCATCGTTCATTTAGTTTCATATAACACAAATCAAATCATAAGAAAAACGGAAGCCCAAATTAAAGAACATTCCATAAAATAACTAGCCAGTATTCTAAAACAAGTCAGTGCATCATGAAAGATAAAGCTGAGGAACTGCTAGACACAGAGATATACTAAATACCAGATCCGATCCTGAACTGAGTCCTGCTTCAAAGAAATGACAGCTGTAAAGGAGCCAGTCGGGCCCTTGACAAAATTGAAATATGAACTGTTGACTGAACAGAGTACTGTATCGATGTAAAATTTTCTGATTTGACAATACTGTGGTTACATAGGATGCTCATTCTTGGGAAATACATACTAAATATCAGGGTCTGTAATCTGTATGTCTACAATCTACTCCAAAATTGTTCAGGGGAAAAATATCTATGTGTCAGTCAGTCTGTCTGTCTATCTCTTGAGAAAGAGCAAATTTAGAAAAAGGTTAAAAACTGATAAATCTTGGTAAAGGCTTTACTGGAGATATACTATTCTTACAACTTTTCTATAAGTTTAAAATCATTTTTAAGAACTTTAAATTTTTTCTAGGGCCTATAAATAAAAAAATCATTGCTATAATAGAAGAACAACTTTGGAAACCCACATTTTTGGTCGAAAGGTTCTAGAATTACTTTGAATTTCTGGGAGAAATGTTTGTTCTGTTTATATGCGCATGGAGCAGAGAGAAAGAAAGGAGTCTAAGTCTGAGGCATTTCACGTAGTCATGTAACCTTGGGTAAATGTACATAACTTCTCTGAGGCTCGGCTAACTCATCTGTAAAGTGAAAAATAACAGCAGACACCCAGAAGTATCATTGGAAGAGTAACATGAGACAAAGCACATGAAAAACAGACTGTGTTTCTAGCACTTGTTAACATTCAAACAATGGAAGCTTCATTTCCCTGCCTTACAACTCCTACTCTTATATACTACTTCCATAAAGGTACTTTTATTATTTTAATTTTGTTATTTATTTTATATAATTTATTTTATTTTATTATTATTATTTTTTAATCCTCACCCAAGGATATTTCTCCATTGTTTTTCAAATAGGGGGAGGGGGAGGGAGGGAGAGAGAGAGAGAGAGAAACATCGATGTGAGAGAGACACATAGATTGGTTGCCTTCTGCATGACCCCGACTAGGGCCAGGGATTGAACCTGTAACCGGGTACATGCCCTTGATTGGAATCGAACCCAGGACTCTTTGGTCCCCAGGCCAGTGCTCTAACTGCCGAGCCAAACCAGCCAGGGCAAGGTATATTCATTATTATTAGCAAAAATAAAGGATCAGGACATTCATCTTAAATATAAGATTTCAGACAGAACATAATTAGTATAGTACATTTTTATCCATTAAATGCTTATCTGTTCATAGTTGACTTGTTAGTCCTTAATTATGAAATAAACATGGTTTCAAGAGGCAGTTTAGAAAAGTGTCATATTAAATTACTGAACGTATTATGTTGACCTAAACACACATTTAACAGTAGCTCTAATACTTGGAATTATAAGTCCCTTGGAACATTATAAATATAGAGTTATTAATGAACCATAGTTATAGAAAAAAATAATAGAAGACTGAGAAATAAGATAGTTCATTGTAAGGTTCTTTATCATTAGAAGTTGTTCCAAGTTGTTATTAAAGTAATAAAAAATGAGTTCAAATGGAATATTTTGAATTGAATATAATTTTAATAAATCGAGTTCATATGAAAGGCATATAAGAATTAAGTAAATCCTTGCAATTTCTCTCAAACTTA